CGGACACGTCGCGATCTCGCATCGTCCTTCACATCCGCATTTCTCCTCTCGTGCGCCAGGTATGTTAAAGGAGATCTTGTAGGGGTTCTGCATCATAGTGACACGCCGGACGTCCGTCGGCCACGGTACCTGTTGCCCCACTTTATATTTCTGCAGTATCCAGTCCCGCGTTCCGTTGGCTGGTTCCTTGTCGTCGCTATCCGCTTGCGTCAGGTCGATCTCCTCCCTGATTTCTTCTTCATCATCGCGCTTCGCCGCTCTCTTCCTTCCTTCGTTGGGTGCTGGACACCACCATACTCGGGTGGATGATCTTCCCGGCCACCACGTAGGGCAACCTTCTGACTCTCCCCTTCCGGCGTCTTCTTGACCATCCTTCCCGCATTTTCGCCGTGCTGCTAACTCTTCCCGCGTGTCGATGCCTGCTGTGTCCGGCGGCAGCGTCATCGCGCGCTGCGCCAGCCCAAAGTTCTTCTTCCACTGCTTCATTACCCGGGAGCGTAGGTGAACCGCCTTCCCGTAATCCCGGTGCATCGGGTAGTCACCTTCTTCAGGCGTCTTCGGGACTACGGCGGCAGGCGGTGGTCACTCGGTCGGGGTATACTTCGTCCAGTTTGGCATATGGCGTTGCGTCGACGCGTCAGCGAGAAAGGCACCACGTGCGACCGGGATGTCCGGTTCGGCAGAGCGCTTTTACAAGTGCGCCACTCGATTGCGGTTTCGACGCAGATATTTATCTCGAAATATACGCAAGGTTACAATTGATGTACAATAGTTGCTGGCTCGACTTCCTTCTTCATTGCGGTCGCGCGCAAGGAGTCTCGGTTTTCGTTCTGGTGCAAGGCGCACTGGCAATGAAACCAGAGGGCGCTGTTCGTTTGGCCGGTATAATCGACAATGACCTCTGTCCCAAAGACAATATCGGATTGCGCCACCAGCGACACGACCACTCGTCGCCTCCCCCGCACCTCATGGAAGTGGGTGTTCGGGGTACAAGAATGCTCTACGAACCGCGCCACCGAGCCGCACTCTTCCGCGCTGACGTACACGCGGTGTGCTTTCGTGTCCCGTTGGCGCAATTCTACCGTATACGCCGCCTCACGTGGGGGGTCCAATACGTACTGGCCCTAATATTGGCAGACCACACCTCCTGCTGGTATGGGCCGCGTCGCCACCACGCCGATTCCCGTGCGTGTCATCTTCAACTCCAGGCGTCGCTGTCAGAACTGGTTGTCGCACGCTTTCGCGCCTGGCGTGCACGTAACAGTCTCACATACCTGCTTCTCCGCCGCGTTCGGACACGTCGCGATCTCGCATCGTCCTTCACATCCGCATTTCTCCTCTCGTGCGCCAGGTATGTTAAAGGAGATCTTGTAGGGGTTCTGCATCATAGTGACACGCCGGACGTCCGTCGGCCACGGTACCTGTTGCCCCACTTTATATTTCTGCAGTATCCAGTCCCGCGTTCCGTTGGCTGGTTCCTTGTCGTCGCTATCCGCTTGCGTCAGGTCGATCTCCTCCCTGATTTCTTCTTCATCATCGCGCTTCGCCGCTCTCTTCCTTCCTTCGTTGGGTGCTGGACACCACCATACTCGGGTGGATGATCTTCCCGGCCACCACGTAGGGCAACCTTCTGACTCTCCCCTTCCGGCGTCTTCTTGACCATCCTTCCCGCATTTTCGCCGTGCTGCTAACTCTTCCCGCGTGTCGATGCCTGCTGTGTCCGGCGGCAGCGTCATCGCGCGCTGCGCCAGCCCAAAGTTCTTCTTCCACTGCTTCATGACCCGGGAGCGTAGGTGAACCGCCTTCCCGTAATCCCGGTGCATCGGGTAGTCACCTTCTTCAGGCGTCTTCGGGACTACGGCGGCAGGCGGTGGTCACTCGGTCGGGGTATACTTCGTCCAGTTTGGCATATGGCGTTGCGTCGACGCGTCAGCGAGAAAGGCACCACGTGCGACCGGGATGTCCGGTTCGGCAGAGCGCTTTTACAAGTGCGCCACTCGATTGCGTTTTCGACGCAGATATTTATCTCGAAATATACGCAAGGTTACAATTGATGTACAGTAGTTGATGGCTCGACTTCCTTCTTCATTGCGGTCGCGCGCAAGGCGTCTCGGTTTTCGTTCTGGTGCAAGGCGCACTGGCAATGAAACCAGAGGGCGCTGTTCGTTTGGCCGGTATAATCGACAATGACCTCTGTCCCAAAGACAATATCGGATTGCGCCACCAGCGACACGACCACTCGTCGCCTCCCCCGCACCTCATGGAAGTGGGTGTTCGGGGTACAAGAATGCTCTACGAACCGCGCCACCGAGCCGCACTCTTCCGCGCTGACGTACACGCGGTGTGCTTTCGTGTCCCGTTGGCGCAATTCTACCGTATACACCACCTCACGTGGGGAGTCCAATACGTACTGGCCCTAATATTGGCAGACCACACCTCCTGCTGGTATGGGCCGCGTCGCCACCACGCCGATTCCCGTGCGTGTCATCTTCAACTCCAGGCGTCGCTGTCAGAACTGGTTGTCGCACGCTTTCGCGCCTGGCGTGCACGTAACAGTCTCACATACCTGCTTCTCCGCCGCGTTCGGACACGTCGCGATCTCGCATCGTCCTTCACATCCGCATTTCTCCTCTCGTGCGCCAGGTATGTTAAAGGAGATCTTGTAGGGGTTCTGCATCATAGTGACACGCCGGACGTCCGTCGGCCACGGTACCTGTTGCCCCACTTTATATTTCTGCAGTATCCAGTCCCGCGTTCCGTTGGCTGGTTCCTTGTCGTCGCTATCCGCTTGCGTCAGGTCGATCTCCTCCCTGATTTCTTCTTCATCATCGCGCTGCGCCGCTCTCTTCCTTCCTTCGTTGGGTGCTGGACACCACCATACTCGGGTGGATGATCTTCCCGGCCACCACGTAGGGCAATCTTCTGACTCTCCCCTTCCGGCGTCTTCTTGACCATCCTTCCCGCATTTTCGCCGTGCTGCTAACTCTTCCCGCGTGTCGATGCCTGCTGTGTCCGGCGGCAGCGTCATCGCGCGCTGCGCCAGCCCAAAGTTCTTCTTCCACTGCTTCATTACCCGGGAGCGTAGGTGAACCGCCTTCCCGTAATCCCGGTGCATCGGGTAGTCACCTTCTTCAGGCGTCTTCGGGACTACGGCGGCAGGCGGTGGTCACTCGGTCGGGGTATACTTCGTCCAGTTTGGCATATGGCGTTGCGTCGACGCGTCAGCGAGAAAGGCACCACGTGCGACCGGGATGTCCGGTTCGGCAGAGCGCTTTTACAAGTGCGCCACTCGATTGCGGTTTCGACGCAGATATTTATCTCGAAATATACGCAAGGTTACAATTGATGTACAATAGTTGCTGGCTCGACTTCCTTCTTCATTGCGGTCGCGCGCAAGGCGTCTCGGTTTTCGTTCTGGTGCAAGGCGCACTGGCAATGAAACCAGAGGGCGCTGTTCGTTTGGCCGGTATAATCGACAATGACCTCTGTCCCAAAGACAATATCGGATTGCGCCACCAGCGACACGACCACTCGTCGCCTCCCCCGCACCTCATGGAAGTGGGTGTTCGGGGTACAAGAATGCTCTACGAACCGCGCCACCGAGCCGCACTCTTCCGCGCTGACGTACACGCGGTGTGCTTTCGTGTCCCGTTGGCGCAATTCTACCGTATACGCCGCCTCACGTGGGGGGTCCAATACGTACTGGCCCTAATATTGGCAGACCACACCTCCTGCTGGTATGGGCCGCGTCGCCACCACGCCGATTCCCGTGCGTGTCATCTTCAACTCCAGGCGTCGCTGTCAGAACTGGTTGTCGCACGCTTTCGCGCCTGGCGTGCACGTAACAGTCTCACATACCTGCTTCTCCGCCGCGTTCGGACACGTCGCGATCTCGCATCGTCCTTCACATCCGCATTTCTCCTCTCGTGCGCCAGGTATGTTAAAGGAGATCTTGTAGGGGTTCTGCATCATAGTGACACGCCGGACGTCCGTCGGCCACGGTACCTGTTGCCCCACTTTATATTTCTGCAGTATCCAGTCCCGCGTTCCGTTGGCTGGTTCCTTGTCGTCGCTATCCGCTTGCGTCAGGTCGATCTCCTCCCTGATTTCTTCTTCATCATCGCGCTTCGCCGCTCTCTTCCTTCCTTCGTTGGGTGCTGGACACCACCATACTCGGGTGGATGATCTTCCCGGCCACCACGTAGGGCAACCTTCTGACTCTCCCCTTCCGGCGTCTTCTTGACCATCCTTCCCGCATTTTCGCCGTGCTGCTAACTCTTCCCGCGTGTCGATGCCTGCTGTGTCCGGCGGCAGCGTCATCGCGCGCTGCGCCAGCCCAAAGTTCTTCTTCCACTGCTTCATTACCCGGGAGCGTAGGTGAACCGCCTTCCCGTAATCCCGGTGCATCGGGTAGTCACCTTCTTCAGGCGTCTTCGGGACTACGGCGGCAGGCGGTGGTCACTCGGTCGGGGTATACTTCGTCCAGTTTGGCATATGGCGTTGCGTCGACGCGTCAGCGAGAAAGGCACCACGTGCGACCGGGATGTCCGGTTCGGCAGAGCGCTTTTACAAGTGCGCCACTCGATTGCGTTTTCGACGCAGATATTTATCTCGAAATATACGCAAGGTTACAATTGATGTACAGTAGTTGATGGCTCGACTTCCTTCTTCATTGCGGTCGCGCGCAAGGCGTCTCGGTTTTCGTTCTGGTGCAAGGCGCACTGGAAATGAAACCAGAGGGCACTGTTCGTTTGGCCGGTATAATCGACAATGACCTCTGTCCCAAAGACAATATCGGATTGCGCCACCAGCGACACGACCACTCGTCGCCTCCCCCGCACCTCATGGAAGTGGGTGTTCGGGGTACAAGAATGCTCTACGAACCGCGCCACCGAGCCGCACTCTTCCGCGCTGACGTACACGCGGTGTGCTTTCGTGTCCCGTTGGCGCAATTCTACCGTATACACCACCTCACGTGGGGAGTCCAATACGTACTGGCCCTAATATTGGCAGACCACACCTCCTGCTGGTATGGGCCGCGTCGCCACCACGCCGATTCCCGTGCGTGTCATCTTCAACTCCAGGCGTCGCTGTCAGAACCGGTTGTCGCACGCTTTCGCGCCTGGCGTGCACGTAACAGTCTCACATACCTGCTTCTCCGCCGCGTTCGGACACGTCGCGATCTCGCATCGTCCTTCACATCCGCATTTCTCCTCTCGTGCGCCAGGTATGTTAAAGGAGATCTTGTAGGGGTTCTGCATCATAGTGACACGCCGGACGTCCGTCGGCCACGGTACCTGTTGCCCCACTTTATATTTCTGCAGTATCCAGTCCCGCGTTCCGTTGGCTGGTTCCTTGTCGTCGCTATCCGCTTGCGTCAGGTCGATCTCCTCCCTGATTTCTTCTTCATCATCGCGCTGCGCCGCTCTCTTCCTTCCTTCGTTGGGTGCTGGACACCACCATACTCGGGTGGATGATCTTCCCGGCCACCACGTAGGGCAATCTTCTGACTCTCCCCTTCCGGCGTCTTCTTGACCATCCTTCCCGCATTTTCGCCGTGCTGCTAACTCTTCCCGCGTGTCGATGCCTGCTGTGTCCGGCGGCAGCGTCATCGCGCGCTGCGCCAGCCCAAAGTTCTTCTTCCACTGCTTCATTACCCGGGAGCGTAGGTGAACCGCCTTCCCGTAATCCCGGTGCATCGGGTAGTCACCTTCTTCAGGCGTCTTCGGGACTACGGCGGCAGGCGGTGGTCACTCGGTCGGGGTATACTTCGTCCAGTTTGGCATATGGCGTTGCGTCGACGCGTCAGCGAGAAAGGCACCACGTGCGACCGGGATGTCCGGTTCGGCAGAGCGCTTTTACAAGTGCGCCACTCGATTGCGTTTTCGACGCAGATATTTATCTCGAAATATACGCAAGGTTACAATTGATGTACAATAGTTGCTGGCTCGACTTCCTTCTTCATTGCGGTCGCGCGCAAGGCGTCTCGGTTTTCGTTCTGGTGCAAGGCGCACTGGAAATGAAACCAGAGGGCACTGTTCGTTTGGCCGGTATAATCGACAATGACCTCTGTCCCAAAGACAATATCGGATTGCGCCACCAGCGACACGACCACTCGTCGCCTCCCCCGCACCTCATGGAAGTGGGTGTTCGGGGTACAAGAATGCTCTACGAACCGCGCCACCGAGCCGCACTCTTCCGCACTGACGTACACGCGGTGTGCTTTCGTGTCCCGTTGGCGCAATTCTACCGTATACACCACCTCACGTGGGGAGTCCAATACGTACTGACCCTAATATTGGCAGACCACACCTCCTGCTGGTATGGGCCGCGTCGCCACCACGCCGATTCCCGTGCGTGTCATCTTCAACTCCAGGCGTCGCTGTCAGAACTGGTTGTCGCACGCTTTCGCGCCTGGCGTGCACGTAACAGTCTCACATACCTGCTTCTCCGCCGCGTTCGGACACGTCGCGATCTCGCATCGTCCTTCACATCCGCATTTCTCCTCTCGTGCGCCAGGTATGTTAAAGGAGATCTTGTAGGGGTTCTGAATCATAGTGACACGCCGGACGTCCGTCGGCCACGGTACCTGTTGCCCCACTTTATATTTCTGCAGTATCCAGTCCCGCGTTCCGTTGGCTGGTTCCTTGTCGTCGCTATCCGCTTGCGTCAGGTCGATCTCCTCCCTGATTTCTTCTTCATCATCGCGCTTCGCCGCTCTCTTCCTTCCTTCGTTGGGTGCTGGACACCACCATACTCGGGTGGATGATCTTCCCGGCCACCACGTAGGGCAACCTTCTGACTCTCCCCTTCCGGCGTCTTCTTGACCATCCTTCCCGCATTTTCGCCGTGCTGCTAACTCTTCCCGCGTGTCGATGCCTGCTGTGTCCGGCGGCAGCGTCATCGCGCGCTGCGCCAGTCCAAAGTTCTTCTTCCACTGCTTCATTACCCGGGAGCGTAGGTGAACCGCCTTCCCGTAATCCCGGTGCATCGGGTAGTCACCTTCTTCAGGCGTCTTCGGGACTACGGCGGCAGGCGGTGGTCACTCGGTCGGGGTATACTTCGTCCAGTTTGGCATATGGCGTTGCGTCGACGCTTCAGCGAGAAAGGCACCACGTGCGACCGGGATGTCCGGTTCGGCAGAGCGCTTTTACAAGTGCGCCACTCGATTGCGTTTTCGACGCAGATATTTATCTCGAAATATACGCAAGGTTACAATTGATGTACAGTAGTTGATGGCTCGACTTCCTTCTTCATTGCGGTCGCGCGCAAGGCGTCTCGGTTTTCGTTCTGGTGCAAGGCGCACTGGAAATGAAACCAGAGGGCACTGTTCGTTTGGCCGGTATAATCGACAATGACCTCTGTCCCAAAGACAATATCGGATTGCGCCACCAGCGACACGACCACTCGTCGCCTCCCCCGCACCTCATGGAAGTGGGTGTTCGGGGTACAAGAATGCTCTACGAACCGCGCCACCGAGCCGCACTCTTCCGCGCTGACGTACACGCGGTGTGCTTTTGTGTCCCGTTGGCGCAATTCTACCGTATACACCACCTCACGTGGGGAGTCCAATACGTACTGACCCTAATATTGGCAGACCACACCTCCTGCTGGTATGGGCCGCGTCGCCACCACGCCGATTCCCGTGCGTGTCATCTTCAACTCCAGGCGTCGCTGTCGGAACCGGTTGTCGCACGCTTTCGCGCCTGGCGTGCACGTAACAGTCTCACATACCTGCTTCTCCGCCGCGTTCGGACACGTCGCGATCTCGCATCGTCCTTCACATCCGCATTTCTCCTCTCGTGCGCCAGGTATGTTAAAGGAGATCTTGTAGGGGTTCTGCATCATAGTGACACGCCGGACGTCCGTCGGCCACGGTACCTGTTGCCTCACTTTATATTTCTGCAGTATCTAGTCCCGCGTTCCGTTGGCTGGTTCCTTGTCGTCGCTATCCGCTTGCGTCAGGTCGATCTCCTCCCTGATTTCTTCTTCATCATCGCGCTGCGCCGCTCTCTTCCTTCCTTCGTTGGGTGCTGGACACCACCATACTCGGGTGGATGATCTTCCCGGCCACCACGTAGGGCAACCTTCTGACTCTCCCCTTCCGGCGTCTTCTTGACCATCCTTCCCGCATTTTCGCCGTGCTGCTAACTCTTCCCGCGTGTCGATGCCTGCTGTGTCCGGCGGCAGCGTCATCGCGCGCTGCGCCAGCCCAAAGTTCTTCTTCCACTGCTTCATTACCCGGGAGCGTAGGTGAACCGCCTTCCCGTAATCCCGGTGCATCGGTTAGTCACCTTCTTCAGGCGTCTTCGGGACTACGGCGGCAGGCGGTGGTCACTCGGTCGGGGTATACTTCGTCCAGTTTGGCATATGGCGTTGCGTCGACGCGTCAGCGAGAAAGGCACCACGTGCGACCGGGATGTCCGGTTCGGCAGAGCGCTTTTACAAGTGCGCCACTCGATTGCGTTTTCGACGCAGATATTTATCTCGAAATATACGCAAGGTTACAATTGATGTACAGTAGTTGATGGCTCGACTTCCTTCTTCATTGCGGTCGCGCGCAAGGCGTCTCGGTTTTCGTTCTGGTGCAAGGCGCACTGGAAGTGAAACCAGAGGGCACTGTTCGTTTGGCCGGTATAATCGACAATGACCTCTGTCCCAAAGACAATATCGGATTGCGCCACCAGCGACACGACCACTCGTCGCCTCCCCCGCACCTCATGGAAGTGGGTGTTCGGGGTACAAGAATGCTCTACAAACCGCGCCACCGAGCCGCACTCTTCCGCGCTGACGTACACGCGGTGTGCTTTTGTGTCCCGTTGGCGCAATTCTACCGTATACACCACCTCACGTGGGGAGTCCAATACGTACTGACCCTAATATTGGCAGACCACACCTCCTGCTGGTATGGGCCGCGTCGCCACCACGCCGATTCCCGTGCGTGTCATCTTCAACTCCAGGCGTCGCTGTCAGAACTGGTTGTCGCACGCTTTCGCGCCTGGCGTGCACGTAACAGTCTCACATACCTGCTTCTCCGCCGCGTTCGGACACGTCGCGATCTCGCATCGTCCTTCACATCCGCATTTCTCCTCTCGTGCGCCAGGTATGTTAAAGGAGATCTTGTAGGGGTTCTGAATCATAGTGACACGCCGGACGTCCGTCGGCCACGGTACCTGTTGCCCCACTTTATATTTCTGCAGTATCCAGTCCCGCGTTCCGTTGGCTGGTTCCTTGTCGTCGCTATCCGCTTGCGTCAGGTCGATCTCCTCCCTGATTTCTTCTTCATCATCGCGCTTCGCCGCTCTCTTCCTTCCTTCGTTGGTTGCTGGACACCACCATACTCGGGTGGATGATCTTCCCGGCCACCACGTAGGGCAACCTTCTGACTCTCCCCTTCCGGCGTCTTCTTGACCATCCTTCCCGCATTTTCGCCGTGCTGCTAACTCTTCCCGCGTGTCGATGCCTGCTGTGTCCGGCGGCAGCGTCATCGCGCGCTGCGCCAGCCCAAAGTTCTTCTTCCACTGCTTCATTACCCGGGAGCGTAGGTGAACCGCCTTCCCGTAATCCCGGTGCATCGGGTAGTCACCTTCTTCAGGCGTCTTCGGGACTACGGCGGCAGGCGGTGGTCACTCGGTCGGGGTATACTTCGTCCAGTTTGGCATATGGCGTTGCGTCGACGCGTCAGCGAGAAAGGCACCACGTGCGACCGGGATGTCCGGTTCGGCAGAGCGCTTTTACAAGTGCGCCACTCGATTGCGTTTTCGACGCAGATATTTATCTCGAAATATACGCAAGGTTACAATTGATGTACAGTAGTTGATGGCTCGACTTCCTTCTTCATTGCGGTCGCGCGCAAGGCGTCTCGGTTTTCGTTCTGGTGCAAGGCGCACTGGAAGTGAAACCAGAGGGCACTGTTCGTTTGGCCGGTATAATCGACAATGACCTCTGTCCCAAAGACAATATCGGATTGCGCCACCAGCGACACGACCACTCGTCGCCTCCCCCGCACCTCATGGAAGTGGGTGTTCGGGGTACAAGAATGCTCTACAAACCGCGCCACCGAGCCGCACTCTTCCGCGCTGACGTACACGCGGTGTGCTTTTGTGTCCCGTTGGCGCAATTCTACCGTATACACCACCTCACGTGGGGAGTCCAATACGTACTGACCCTAATATTGGCAGACCACACCTCCTGCTGGTATGGGCCGCGTCGCCACCACGCCGATTCCCGTGCGTGTCATCTTCAACTCCAGGCGTCGCTGTCAGAACTGGTTGTCGCACGCTTTCGCGCCTGGCGTGCACGTAACAGTCTCACATACCTGCTTCTCCGCCGCGTTCGGACACGTCGCGATCTCGCATCGTCCTTCACATCCGCATTTCTCCTCTCGTGCGCCAGGTATGTTAAAGGAGATCTTGTAGGGGTTCTGCATCATAGTGACACGCCGGACGTCCGTCGGCCACGGTACCTGTTGCCCCACTTTATATTTCTGCAGTATCCAGTCCCGCGTTCCGTTGGCTGGTTCCTTGTCGTCGCTATCCGCTTGCGTCAGGTCGATCTCCTCCCTGATTTCTTCTTCATCATCGCGCTTCGCCGCTCTCTTCCTTCCTTCGTTGGGTGCTGGACACCACCATACTCGGGTGGATGATCTTCCCGGCCACCACGTAGGGCAACCTTCTGACTCTCCCCTTCCGGCGTCTTCTTGACCATCCTTCCCGCATTTTCGCCGTGCTGCTAACTCTTCCCGCGTGTCGATGCCTGCTGTGTCCGGCGGCAGCGTCATCGCGCGCTGCGCCAGCCCAAAGTTCTTCTTCCACTGCTTCATTACCCGGGAGCGTAGGTGAACCGCCTTCCCGTAATCCCGGTGCATCAGTTAGTCACCTTCTTCAGGCGTCTTCGGGACTACGGCGGCAGGCGGTGGTCACTCGGTCGGGGTATACTTCGTCCAGTTTGGCATATGGCGTTGCGTCGACGCGTCAGCGAGAAAGGCACCACGTGCGACCGGGATGTCCGGTTCGGCAGAGCGCTTTTACAAGTGCGCCACTCGATTGCGTTTTCGACGCAGATATTTATCTCGAAATATACGCAAGGTTACAATTGATGTACAGTAGTTGATGGCTCGACTTCCTTCTTCATTGCGGTCGCGCGCAAGGCGTCTCGGTTTTCGTTCTGGTGCAAGGCGCACTGGAAGTGAAACCAGAGGGCACTGTTCGTTTGGCCGGTATAATCGACAATGACCTCTGTCCCAAAGACAATATCGGATTGCGCCACCAGCGACACGACCACTCGTCGCCTCCCCCGCACCTCATGGAAGTGGGTGTTCGGGGTACAAGAATGCTCTACAAACCGCGCCACCGAGCCGCACTCTTCCGCGCTGACGTACACGCGGTGTGCTTTTGTGTCCCGTTGGCGCAATTCTACCGTATACACCACCTCACGTGGGGAGTCCAATACGTACTGGCCCTAATATTGGCAGACCACACCTCCTGCTGGTATGGGCCGCGTCGCCACCACGCCGATTCCCGTGCGTGTCATCTTCAACTCCAGGCGTCGCTGTCGGAACCGGTTGTCGCACGCTTTCGCGCCTGGCGTGCACGTAACAGTCTCACATACCTGCTTCTCCGCCGCGTTCGGACACGTCGCGATCTCGCATCGTCCTTCACATCCGCATTTCTCCTCTCGTGCGCCAGGTATGTTAAAGGAGATCTTGTAGGGGTTCTGAATCATAGTGACACGCCGGACGTCCGTCGGCCACGGTACCTGTTGCCCCACTTTATATTTCTGCAGTATCCAGTCCCGCGTTCCGTTGGCTGGTTCCTTGTCGTCGCTATCCGCTTGCGTCAGGTCGATCTCCTCCCTGATTTCTTCTTCATCATCGCGCTTCGCCGCTCTCTTCCTTCCTTCGTTGGTTGCTGGACACCACCATACTCGGGTGGATGATCTTCCCGGCCACCACGTAGGGCAACCTTCTGACTCTCCCCTTCCGGCGTCTTCTTGACCATCCTTCCCGCATTTTCGCCGTGCTGCTAACTCTTCCCGCGTGTCGATGCCTGCTGTGTCCGGCGGCAGCGTCATCGCGCGCTGCGCCAGCCCAAAGTTCTTCTTCCACTGCTTCATTACCCGGGAGCGTAGGTGAACCGCCTTCCCGTAATCCCGGTGCATCGGGTAGTCACCTTCTTCAGGCGTCTTCGGGACTACGGCGGCAGGCGGTGGTCACTCGGTCGGGGTATACTTCGTCCAGTTTGGCATATGGCGTTGCGTCGACGCGTCAGCGAGAAAGGCACCACGTGCGACCGGGATGTCCGGTTCGGCAGAGCGCTTTTACAAGTGCGCCACTCGATTGCGTTTTCGACGCAGATATTTATCTCGAAATATACGCAAGGTTACAATTGATGTACAGTAGTTGATGGCTCGACTTCCTTCTTCATTGCGGTCGCGCGCAAGGCGTCTCGGTTTTCGTTCTGGTGCAAGGCGCACTGGAAGTGAAACCAGAGGGCACTGTTCGTTTGGCCGGTATAATCGACAATGACCTCTGTCCCAAAGACAATATCGGATTGCGCCACCAGCGACACGACCACTCGTCGCCTCCCCCGCACCTCATGGAAGTGGGTGTTCGGGGTACAAGAATGCTCTACAAACCGCGCCACCGAGCCGCACTCTTCCGCGCTGACGTACACGCGGTGTGCTTTTGTGTCCCGTTGGCGCAATTCTACCGTATACACCACCTCACGTGGGGAGTCCAATACGTACTGGCCCTAATATTGGCAGACCACACCTCCTGCTGGTATGGGCCGCGTCGCCACCACGCCGATTCCCGTGCGTGTCATCTTCAACTCCAGGCGTCGCTGTCGGAACCGGTTGTCGCACGCTTTCGCGCCTGGCGTGCACGTAACAGTCTCACATACCTGCTTCTCCGCCGCGTTCGGACACGTCGCGATCTCGCATCGTCCTTCACATCCGCATTTCTCCTCTCGTGCGCCAGGTATGTTAAAGGAGATCTTGTAGGGGTTCTGAATCATAGTGACACGCCGGACGTCCGTCGGCCACGGTACCTGTTGCCCACTTTATATTTCTGCAGTATCCAGTCCCGCGTTCCGTTGGCTGGTTCCTTGTCGTCGCTATCCGCTTGCGTCAGGTCGATCTCCTCCCTGATTTCTTCTTCATCATCGCGCTTCGCCGCTCTCTTCCTTCCTTCGTTGGTTGCTGGACACCACCATACTCGGGTGGATGATCTTCCCGGCCACCACGTAGGGCAACCTTCTGACTCTCCCCTTCCGGCGTCTTCTTGACCATCCTTCCCGCATTTTCGCCGTGCTGCTAACTCTTCCCGCGTGTCGATGCCTGCTGTGTCCGGCGGCAGCGTCATCGCGCGCTGCGCCAGCCCAAAGTTCTTCTTCCACTGCTTCATTACCCGGGAGCGTAGGTGAACCGCCTTCCCGTAATCCCGGTGCATCGGGTAGTCACCTTCTTCAGGCGTCTTCGGGACTACGGCGGCAGGCGGTGGTCACTCGGTCGGGGTATACTTCGTCCAGTTTGGCATATGGCGTTGCGTCGACGCGTCAGCGAGAAAGGCACCACGTGCGACCGGGATGTCCGGTTCGGCAGAGCGCTTTTACAAGTGCGCCACTCGATTGCGTTTTCGACGCAGATATTTATCTCGAAATATACGCAAGGTTACAATTGATGTACAGTAGTTGATGGCTCGACTTCCTTCTTCATTGCGGTCGCGCGCAAGGCGTCTCGGTTTTCGTTCTGGTGCAAGGCGCACTGGAAGTGAAACCAGAGGGCACTGTTCGTTTGGCCGGTATAATCGACAATGACCTCTGTCCCAAAGACAATATCGGATTGCGCCACCAGCGACACGACCACTCGTCGCCTCCCCCGCACCTCATGGAAGTGGGTGTTCGGGGTACAAGAATGCTCTACGAACCGCGCCACCGAGCCGCACTCTTCCGCACTGACGTACACGCGGTGTGCTTTCGTGTCCCGTTGGCGCAATTCTACCGTATACGCCGCCTCACGTGGGGGTTCCAATACGTACTGGCCCTAATATTGGCAGACCACATCTCCTGCTGGTATGAGCCGCGTCGCCACCACGCCGATTCCCGTGCGTGTCATCTTCAACTCCAGGCGTCGCTGTCAGAACTGGTTGTCGCACGCTTTCGCGCCTGGCGTGCACGTAACAGTCTCACATACCTGCTTCTCCGCCGCGTTCGGACACGTCGCGATCTCGCATCGTCCTTCACATCCGCATTTTTCCTCTCGTGCGCCAGGTATGTTAAAGGAGATCTTGTAGGGGTTCTGCATCATAGTGACACGCCGGACGTCCGTCGGCCACGGTACCTGTTGCCCCACTTTATATTTCTGCAGTATCCTGTCCCGCGTTCCGTTGGCTGGTTCCTTGTCGTCGCTATCCGCTTGCGTCAGGTCGATCTCCTCCCTGATTTCTTCTTCATCATCGCGCTGCGCCGCTCTCTTCCTTCCTTCGTTGGGTGCTGGAAACCACCATACTCGGGTGGATGATCTTCCCGGCCACCACGTAGGGCAATCTTCTGACTCTCCCCTTCCTGCGTCTTCTTGACCATCCTTCCCGCATTTTCGCCGTGCTGCTAACTCTTCCCGCGTGTCGATGCCTGCTGTGTCCGGCGGCAGCGTCATCGCGCGCTGCGCCAGCCCAAAGTTCTTCTTCCACTGCTTCATGACCCGGGAGCGTAGGTGAAACGCCTTCCCGTAATCCCGGTGCATCGGGTAGTCATCTTCTTCAGGCGTCTTCGGGACTACGGCGGCAGGCGTTGGCCACTCGGTCGGGGTATACTACTTCCAGTTTGGCATATGGCGTTGCGTCGACGCGTCAGCGAGAAAGGCACCACGTGCGACCGGGATGTCCGGTTCGGCAGAGCGCTTTTACAAGTGCGCCACTCGATTGCGGTTTCGATGCAGATTTTTATCTCGAAATATACGCAAGGTTACAATTGATGTACAATAGTTGCTGGCTCGACTTCCTTCTTCATTGCGGTCGCGCGCAAGGAGTCTCGGTTTTCGTTCTGGTGCAAGGCGTACTGGCAATGAAACCAGAGGGCGCTGTTCGTTTGGCCGGTATAATCGACAATGACCTCTGTCCCAAAGACAATATCGGATTGCGCCACCAGCGACACGACCACTCGTCGCCTCCCCCGCACCTCATGGAAGTGGGTGTTCGGGGTACAAAAATGCTCTACGAACCGCGCCACCGAGCCGCACTCTTCCGCACTGACGTACACGCGGTGTGCTTTCGTGTCCCGTTGGCGCAATTCTACCGTATACGCCGCCTCACGTGGGGGGTCCAATACGTACTGGCCCTAATATTGGCAGACCACACCTCCTGCTGGTATGGGCCGCGTCGCCACCACGCCGATTCCCGTGCGTGTCATCTTCAACTCCAGGCGTCGCTGTCAGAACTGGTTGTCGCACGCTTTCGCGCCTGGCGTGCACGTAACAGTCTCACATACCTGCTTCTCCGCCGCGTTCGGACACGTCACGATCTCGCATCGTCCTTCACATCCGCATTTCTCCTCTCGTGCGCCAGGTATGTTAAAGGAGATCTTGTAGGGGTTCTGCATCATAGTGACACGCCGGACGTCCGTCGGCCACGGTACCTGTTGCCCCACTTTGTATTTCTGCAGTATCCAGTCCCGCGTTCCGTTGGCTGGTTCCTTGTCGTCGCTATCCGCTTGCGTCAGGTCGATCTCCTCCCTGATTTCTTCTTCATCATCGCGCTTCGCCGCTCTCTTCCTTCCTTCGTTGGGTGCTGGACACCACCATACTCGGGTGGATGATCTTCCCGGCCACCACGTAGGACAATCTTCTGACTCTCCCCTTCCGGCGTCTTCTTGACCATCCTTCCCGCATTTTCGCCGTGCTGCTAACTCTTCCCGCGTGTCGATGCCTGCTGTGTCCGGCGGCAGCGTCATCGCGCGCTGCGCCAGCCCAAAGTTCTTCTTCCACTGCTTCATTACCCGGGAGCGTAGGTGAACCGCCTTCCCGTAATCCCGGTGCATCGGGTAGTCACCTTATTCAGGCGTCTTCGGGACTACGGCGGCAGGCGGTGGCCACTCGGTCGGGGTATACTACTTCCAGTTTGGCATATGGCGTTGCGTCGACGCGTCAGCGAGAAAGGCACCACGTGCGACCGGGATGTCCGGTTCGGCAGAGCGCTTTTACAAGTGCGCCACTCGATTGCGGTTTCGACGCAGATATTTATCTCGAAATATACGCAAGGTTACAATTGATGTACAGTAGTTGCTGGCTCGACTTCCTTCTTCATTGCGGTCGCGCGCAAGGCGTCTCGGTTTTCGTTCTGGTGCAAGGCGCACTGGCAATGGAACCAGAGGGCGCTGTTCGTTTGGCCGGTATAATCGACAATGACCTCTGTCCCAGAGGCAATATCGGATTGCGCCACCAGCGACACGACCACTCGTCGCCTCCCCCGCACCTCATGGAAGTGGGTGTTCGGGGTACAAGAATGCTCTACGAACCGCGCCACCGAGCCGCACTCTTCCGCGCTGACGTACACGCGGTGTGCTTTCGTGTCCCGTTGGCGCAATTCTACCGTATACGCCGCCTCACGTGGGGAGTCCAATACGTACTGGCCCTAATATTGGCAGACCACACCTCCTGCTGGTATGGGCCGCGTCGCCACCACGCCGATTCCCGTGCGTGTCATCTTCAACTCCAGGCGTCGCTGTCGGAACCGGTTGTCGCACGCTTTCGCGCCTGGCGTGCACGTAACAGTCTCACATACCTGCTCCTCCGCCGCGTTCGGACACGTCGCGATCTCGCATCGTCCTTCACATCCGCATTTCTCCTCTCGTGCGCCAGGTATGTTAAAGGAGATCTTGTAGGGGTTCTGAATCATAGTGACACGCCGGACGTCCGTCGGCCACGGTACCTGTTGCCCCACTTTATATTTCTGCAGTATCCAGTCCCGCGTTCCGTTGGCTGGTTCCTTGTCGTCGCTATCCGCTTGCGTCAGGTCGATCTCCTCCCTGATTTCTTCTTCATCATCGCGCTTCGCCGCTCTCTTCCTTCCTTCGTTGGGTGCTGGACACCACCATACTCGGGTGGATGATCTTCCCGGCCACCACGTAGGGCAACCTTCTGACTCTCCCCTTCCGGCGTCTTCTTGACCATCCTTCCCGCATTTTCGCCGTGCTGCTAACTCTTCCCGCGTGTCGATGCCTGCTGTGTCCGGCGGCAGCGTCATCGCGCGCTGCGCCAGCCCAAAGTTCTTCTTCCACTGCTTCATTACCCGGGAGCGTAGGTGAACCGCCTTCCCGTAATCCCGGTGCATCGGGTAGTCACCTTCTTCAGGCGTCTTCGAGACTACGGCGGCAGGCGGTGGTCACTCGGTCGGGGTATACTTCGTCCAGTTTGGCATATGGCGTTGCGTCGACGCGTCAGCGAGAAAGGCACCACGTGCGACCGGGATGTCCGGTTCGGCAGAGCGCTTTTACAAGCGCGCCACTCGATTGCGGTTTCGACGCAGATATTTATCTCGAAATATACGCAAGGTTACAATTGATGTACAGTAGTTGCTGGCTCGACTTCCTTCTTCATTGCGGTCGCGCGCAAGGCGTCTCGGTTTTCGTTCTGGTGCAAGGCGCACTGGCAATGAAACCAGAGGGCGCTGTTCGTTTGGCCGGTATAATCGACAATGACCTCTGTCCCAAAGACAATATCGGATTGCGCCACCAGCGACACGACCACTCGTCGCCTCCCCCGCACCTCATGGAAGTGGGTGTTCGGGGTACAAGAATGCTCTACGAACCGCGCCACCGAGCCGCACTCTTCCGCGCTGACGTACACGCGGTGTGCTTTCGTGTCCCGTTGGCGCAATTCTACCGTATACGCCGCCTCACGTGGGGAGTCCAATACGTACTGGCCCTAATATTGGCAGACCACACCTCCTGCTGGTATGGGCCGCGTCGCCACCACGCCGATTCCCGTGCGTGTCATCTTCAACTCCAGGCGTCGCTGTCGGAACCGGTTGTCGCACGCTTTCGCGCCTGGCGTGCACGTAACAGTCTCACATACCTGCTCCTCCGCCGCGTTCGGACACGTCGCGATCTCGCATCGTCCTTCACATCCGCATTTCTCCTCTCGTGCGCCAGGTATGTTAAAGGAGATCTTGTAGGGGTTCTGAATCATAGTGACACGCCGGACGTCCGTCGGCCACGGTACCTGTTGCCCCACTTTATATTTCTGCAGTATCCAGTCCCGCGTTCCGTTGGCTGGTTCCTTGTCGTCGCTATCCGCTTGCGTCAGGTCGATCTCCTCCCTGATTTCTTCTTCATCATCGCGCTTCGCCGCTCTCTTCCTTCCTTCGTTGGGTGCTGGACACCACCATACTCGGGTGGATGATCTTCCCGGCCACCACGTAGGGCAACCTTCTGACTCTCCCCTTCCGGCGTCTTCTTGACCATCCTTCCCGCATTTTCGCCGTGCTGCTAACTCTTCCCGCGTGTCGATGCCTGCTGTGTCCGGCGGCAGCGTCATCGCGCGCTGCGCCAGCCCAAAGTTCTTCTTCCACTGCTTCATTACCCGGGAGCGTAGGTGAACCGCCTTCCCGTAATCCCGGTGCATCGGTTAGTCACCTTCTTCAGGCGTCTTCGGGACTACGGCGGCAGGCGGTGGTCACTCGGTCGGGGTATACTTCGTCCAGTTTGGCATATGGCGTTGCGTCGACGCGTCAGCGAGAAAGGCACCACGTGCGACCGGGATGTCCGGTTCGGCAGAGCGCTTTTACAAGTGCGCCACTCGATTGCGTTTTCGACGCAGATATTTATCTCGAAATATACGCAAGGTTACAATTGATGTACAGTAGTTGCTGGCTCGACTTCCTTCTTCATTGCGGTCGCGCGCAAGGCGTCTCGGTTTTCGTTCTGGTGCAAGGCGCACTGGCAAGTGAAACCAGAGGGCACTGTTCGTTTGGCCGGTATAATCGACAATGACCTCTGTCCCAAAGATAATATCGGATTGCGCCACCAGCGACACGACCACTCGTCGCCTCCCCCGCACCTCATGGAAGTGGGTGTTCGGGGTACAAGAATGCTCTACAAACCGCGCCACCGAGCCGCACTCTTCCGCGCTGACGTACACGCGGTGTGCTTTTGTGTCCCGTTGGCGCAATTCTACCGTATACACCACCTCACGTGGGGAGTCCAATACGTACTGGCCCTAATATTGGCAGACCACACCTCCTGCTGGTATGGGCCGCGTCGCCACCACGCCGATTCCCGTGCGTGTCATCTTCAACTCCAGGCGTCGCTGTCGGAACCGGTTGTCGCACGCTTTCGCGCCTGGCGTGCACGTAACAGTCTCACATACCTGCTTCTCCGCCGCGTTCGGACACGTCGCGATCTCGCATCGTCCTTCACATCCGCATTTCTCCTCTCGTGCGCCAGGTATGTTAAAGGAGATCTTGTAGGGGTTCTGAATCATAGTGACACGCCGGACGTCCGTCGGCCACGGTACCTGTTGCCCCACTTTATATTTCTGCAGTATCCAGTCCCGCGTTCCGTTGGCTGGTTCCTTGTCGTCGCTATCCGCTTGCGTCAGGTCGATCTCCTCCCTGATTTCTTCTTCATCATCGCGCTTCGCCGCTCTCTTCCTTCCTCCGTTGGGTGCTGGACACCACCATACTCGGGTGGATGATCTTCCCGGCCACCACGTAGGGCAACCTTCTGACTCTCCCCTTCCGGCGTCTTCTTGACCATCCTTCCCGCATTTTCGCCGTGCTGCTAACTCTTCCCGCGTGTCGATGCCTGCTGTGTCCGGCGGCAGCGTCATCGCGCGCTGCGCCAGTCCAAAGTTCTTCTTCCACTGCTTCATTACCCGGGAGCGTAGGTGAACCGCCTTCCCGTAATCCCGGTGCATCGGGTAGTCACCTTCTTCAGGCGTCTTCGAGACTACGGCGGCAGGCGGTGGTCACTCGGTCGGGGTATACTTCGTCCAGTTTGGCATATGGCGTTGCGTCGACGCGTCAGCGAGAAAGGCACCACGTGCGACCGGGATGTCCGGTTCGGCAGAGCGCTTTTACAAGTGCGCCACTCGATTGCGTTTTCGACGCAGATATTTATCTCGAAATATACGCAAGGTTACAATTGATGTACAGTAGTTGCTGGCTCGACTTCCTTCTTCATTGCGGTCGCGCGCAAGGCGTCTCGGTTTTCGTTCTGGTGCAAGGCGCACTGGCAATGGAACCAGAGGGCGCTGTTCGTTTGGCCGGTATAATCGACAATGACCTCTGTCCCAGAGGCAATATCGGATTGCGCCACCAGCGACACGACCACTCGTCGCCTCCCCCGCACCTCATGGAAGTGGGTGTTCAGGGTACAAGAATGCTCTACGAACCGCGCCACCGAGCCGCACTCTTCCGCGCTGACGTACACGCGGTGTGCTTTTGTGTCCCGTTGGCGCAATTCTACCGTATACGCCGCCTCACGTGGGGGGTCCAATACGTACTGGACCTAATATTGGCAGACCACATCTCCTGCTGGTATGGGCCGCGTCGCCACCACGCCGATTCCCGTGCGTGTCATCTTCAACTCCAGGCGTCGCTGTCGGAACCGGTTGTCGCACGCTTTCGCGCCTGGCGTGCACGTAACAGTCTCACATACCTGCTTCTCCGCCGCGTTCGGACACGTCGCGATCTCGCATCGTCCTTCACATCCGCATTTTTCCTCTCGTGCGCCAGGTATGTTAAAGGAGATCTTGTAGGGGTTCTGCATCATAGTAACACGCCTGACGTCCGTCGGCCACGGTACCTGTTGCCTCACTTTATGTTTCTGCAGTATCCAGTCCCGCGTTCCGTTGGCTGGTTCCTTGTCGTCGCTATCCGCTTGCGTCAGGTCGATCTCCTCCCTGATTTCTTCTTCATCATCGCGCTGCGCCGCTCTCTTCCTTCCTTCGTTGGGTGCTGGAAACCACCATACTCGGGTGGATGATCTTCCCGGCCACCACGTAGGGCAATCTTCTGACTCTCCCCTTCCTGCGTCTTCTTGACCATCCTTCCCGCATTTTCGCCGTGCTGCTAACTCTTCCCGCGTGTCGATGCCTGCTGTGTCCGGCGGCAGCGTCATCGCGCGCTGCGCCAGTCCAAAGTTCTTCTTCCACTGCTTCATGACCCGGGAGCGTAGGTGAACCGCCTTCCCGTAATCCCGGTGCATCGGGTAGTCACCTTCTTCAGGCGTCTTCGGGACTAAGGCGGCAGGCGTTGGCCACTCGGTCGGGGTATACTACTTCCAGTTTGGCATATGGCGTTGCGTCGACGCGTCAGCGAGAAAGGCACCACGTGCGACCGGGATGTCCGGTTCGGCAGAGCGCTTTTACAAGTGCGCCACTCGATTGCGGTTTCGACGCAGATATTTATCTCGAAATATACGCAAGGTTACAATTGATGTACAGTAGTTGCTGGCTCGACTTCCTTCTTCATTGCGGTCGCGCGCAAGGCGTCTCGGTTTTCGTTCTGGTGCAAGGCGTACTGGCAATGGAACCAGAGGGCGCTGTTCGTTTGGCCGGTATAATCGACAATGACCTCTGTCCCAGAGGCAATATCGGATTGCGCCACCAGCGACACGACCACTCGTCGCCTCCCCCGCACCTCATGGAAGTGGGTGTTCAGGGTACAAGAATGCTCTACGAACCGCGCCACCGAGCCGCACTCTTCCGCGCTGACGTACACGCGGTGTGCTTTCGTGTCCCGTTGGCGCAATTCTACCGTATACGCCGCCTCACGTGGGGAGTCCAATACGTACTGGCCCTAATATTGGCAGACCACACCTCCTGCTGGTATGGGCCGCGTCGCCACCACGCCGATTCCCGTGCGTGTCATCTTCAACTCCAGGAGTCGCTGTCAGAACTGGTTGTCGCACGCTTTCGCGCCTGGCGTGCACGTAACAGTCTCACATACCTGCTTCTCCGCCGCGTTCGGACACGTCGCAATCTCGCATCGTCCTTCACATCCGCATTTTTCCTCTCGTGCGCCAGGTATGTTAAAGGAGATCTTGTAGGGGTTCTGCATCATAGTGACACGCCGGACGTCCGTCGGCCACGGTACCTGTTGCCTCACTTTATGTTTCTGCAGTATCCAGTCCCGCGTTCCGTTGGCTGGTTCCTTGTCGTCGCTATCCGCTTGCGTCAGGTCGATCTCCTCCCTGATTTCTTCTTCATCATCGCGCTGCGCCGCTCTCTTCCTTCCTTCGTTGGGTGCTGGAAACCACCATACTCGGGTGGATGATCTTCCCGGCCACCACGTAGGGCAACCTTCTGACTCTCCCCTTCCTGCGTCTTCTTGACCATCCTTCCCGCATTTTCGCCGTGCTGCTAACTCTTCCCGCGTGTCGATGCCTGCTGTGTCCGGCGGCAGCGTCATCGCGCGCTGCGCCAGCCCAAAGTTCTTCTTCCACTGCTTCATGACCCGGGAGCGTAGGTGAACCGCCTTCCCGTAATCCCGGTGCATCGGGTAGTCACCTTCTTCAGGCGTCTTCGGGACTAAGGCGGCAGGCGGTGGCCACTCGGTCGGGGTACACTACTTCCAGTTTGGCATATGGCGTTGCGTCGACGCGTCAGCGAGAAAGGCACCACGTGCGACCGGGATGTCCGGTTCGGCAGAGCGCTTTTACAAGTGCGCCACTCGATTGCGGTTTCGACGCAGATATTTATCTCGAAATATACGCAAGGTTACAATTGATGTACAGTAGTTGCTGGCTCGACTTCCTTCTTCATTGCGGTCGCGCGCAAGGCGTCTCGGTTTTCGTTCTGGTGCAAGGCTCACTGGCAATGAAACCAGAAGGCGCTGTTCGTTTGGCCGGTATAATTGACAATGACCTCTGTCCCAGAGGCAATATCGGATTGCGCCACCAGCGACACGACCACTCGTCGCCTCCCCCGCACCTCATGGAAGTGGGTGTTCGGGGTACAAGAATGCTCTACGAACCGCGCCACCGAGCCGCACTCTTCCGCGCTGACGTACACGCGGTGTGCTTTCGTGTCCCGTTGGCGCAATTCTACCGTATACGCCGCCTCACGTGGGGGGTCCAATACGTACTTGCCCTAATATTGGCAGACCACACCTCCTGCTGGTATGGGCCGCGTCGCCACCACACCGATTCCCGTGCGTGTCATCTTCAACTCCAGGAGTCGCTGTCAGAACTGGTTGTCGCACGCTTTCGCGCCTGGCGTGCACGTAACAGTCTCACATACCTGCTTCTCCGCCGCGTTCGGACACGTCGCGATCTCGCATCGTCCTTCACATCCGCATTTTTCCTCTCGTGCGCCAGGTATGTTAAAGGAGATCTTGTAGGGGTTCTGCATCATAGTGACACGCCGGACGTCCGTCGGCCACGGTACCTGTTGCCTCACTTTATATTTCTGCAGTATCTAGTCCCGCGTTCCGTTGGCTGGTTCCTTGTCGTCGCTATCCGCTTGCGTCAGGTCGATCTCCTCCCTGATTTCTTCTTCATCATCGCGCTGCGCCGCTCTCTTCCTTCCTTCGTTGGGTGCTGGACACCACCATACTCGGGTGGATGATCTTCCCGGCCACTACGTAGGGCAACCTTCTGACTCTCCCCTTCCGGCGTCTTCTTGACCATCCTTCCCGCATTTTCGCCGTGCTGCTAACTCTTCCCGCGTGTCGATGCCTGCTGTGTCCGGCGGCAGCGTCATCGCGCGCTGCGCCAGCCCAAAGTTCTTCTTCCACTGCTTCATGAACCGGGAGCGTAGGTGAACCGCCTTCCCGTAATCCCGGTGCATCGGGTAGTCACCTTCTTCAGGCGTCTTCGGGACTACGGCGGCAGGCGGTGGCCACTCGGTCGGGGTACACTTCGTCCAGTTGGCATATGGCGTTGCGTCGACGCGTCAGCGAGAAAGGCACCACGTGCGACCGGGATGTCCGGTTCGGCAGAGCGCTTTTACAAGTGCGCCACTCGATTGCGGTTTCGACGCAGATATTTATCTCGAAATATACGCAAGGTTACAATTGATGTACAATAGTTGCTGGCTCGACTTCCTTCTTCATTGCGGTCGCGCGCAAGGCGTCTCGGTTTTCGTTCTGGTGCAAGGAGCATGAGCACTGCACCGAATAATACCAAATACCATTGTACTGACAGAAAGGTTTTCATTTGTTAAAGAGCTCAACAAGGCATTTTGTGTGCTATTTGTTTCTTGTGAGGTTGACGTATCACAAGGGAATGGCATCAAAGAGGGCAGCTATGAATCGGCAATGACGTTCAGACGTCGTAGAGGTCTTAGGATGCATGGGGTCCTTCTTCGGACAAGTAGATACCAGAGACGATACAAAGATCAGCGAGTTGGTATCTTGTGCTTCTAGAAGTACGCTGTCCGCTAACAAAAGAATTCCTGCTGCTAAAGCATGCTTAGATTCCCCCCCCCGCCGTCTCACGTATGCTACGGGCTTGCTGACGCCATGGGATCGGTGTCAACGTGCATACTTGTCCCGTTCGTCAGGAACACGCAGAGACAGTGTTCGATGCGAATACGTTTCATGCCAACTCATGAATGAAACCTATGACGTGCCTATCCTTTTCAGTGAAAAGATTAGTTGTCTTGACGGCTATTTCGTGATAGCTGAGGACCACCTTTGGTGTTGCTATCTTAAGAAATACTGTCTATCTTACCTCTCCTACCTCTTCCAACCGTAAGGCTGAACATACAAGATGGCAGCACTCGAACCAGTAACTAACTCGTGAAATCTACTAACGCTTATGAGCTACAGCTTTGCAAGTAACGTGATGCACTTGTTGTGCATACAATCGCACAAACGTTCATGCTACAATTTTTCAGCGATTGTCATGCGCATGATTCAGTCAATGGCATCATATCGACGCAAATTGAGGAAGAGGGTTAAGTTCCTTAAGGCTCCAAGACATTTAACGTACGATTTCCAACCCAAACAAGTGGGATTCCTACGAAAGGCGAGCACAGAACTACTGCCAAAGACGGACTGTATGCATGTACTATTGAAATCACAAGTACAGGCGCAGAAACCCCCTTACGTCCCACTGAATTGATCGTCTGCCTCTGGACGATCACGTTGATTGACGTCTTTCCACGTAAGTCCGTTCCTGTCATTGACATTTCTACACCTCGAATGAGAGAGTAAACGTTGTCACTTAAGCTCCGAGCCGCCAACTCTGGCACTTCTATTTATATTGGTGCTCCATAGATAATGTAGCCCAAGCAAATAAGGGAAGCGAGATCAGGAATAATTTGCAAAACACGTCCAACTCGGGTTGCCAATTCATATTTTCACACGTCGCCCTCCCATCAAAATAACAAGAATCTCCTCAGTCGCGTTCCGCCGTCCGTCTCCAGCCAATACCCTTTGCTGTGAATCCTGGCGAGCTTACGGTTAGCACCTCGCGACGGCTTCTTCACGTCTGAGCCGAATAATCTAAGCAAACACTTGACAGCATCACGGAAATAACGCACCATCACACAGTTGCTAGGTTCTCTACGATGACTGCCCAGACAGCGACTGATCTGCGGCCGCACCTGTTGTCGTATCAGTTCCTGTTGCCGATGGTGCAGCTGACTGTAAAACACTCTCCGGGATCAGCTCGTTCACTGGCATCGAAGCTAAGAGTGTTACAACTTCAGAGTTTGAAATCGCTTGCGGTGCAGCACTGCTAGAGACGGGTACAGGCACTGTTACTGCTGCTGCTGCTGAAGATATTCGATAGGCCTCTTCGTCTGACCCATTGACTGGAAGGCGCACATCACTGTCAAACTCCACAAGTCCCGTAGAAGAATCCTGAACATATTCGTTCGCCAACAACTCTCCTTGACCAAACAACTTTAGACTTTCGTCCAATGCGGTTGACGAGCAATTCGCGGCGCCGTCCCCGTTCTGCTGTCGAGCGATGGCAGCACGTTGCTTGTCGAATTCCTCCATCTTCTTTCTAAAACGTTCAATTTCACGCTGGTGCTTCTCCTCTTCACTACGGATCGCAGCTTCCAGCGACGATTCTCGTTCGTCAAACGAAGTCCGTGCAATCTTCAGGCGGTCTTCCAGCTGGTGAATTTGCTGCACATACGTTGACTCCGCGATCGAACCCATCGACACACCACGAGCTCGCATTTCCAAGATACTCAGCAAGGCCTCCTTAGTAAGAGTAGACTCACTGACAGTATGAGTAAGGCCAGGCCGCGGTGGCGAGCGGCCCACTTCATCACCTGAAAACGGTAGGAGAGCGCCTGCATTACTACTGCCAGGAGAAATGCTACCGTCCACTACCATCAATGTTGAGGATGGGTCACTCAGACTTGCAGCATTTACCGATTCTTGCAATCCTTCCACCTCCTGACTTGTCTCCACACCAGATGGTACAGCACCAGCTATACCACTAGTACCCAACAAGCTTTGACGCAAGGGAGCCGATACTCCTGAAGTGAGCGTACTTGAAGCATTTGATGTGCGTTCCGGTGGAGTTGCACCCATCAGATATGCTTGTTGCTGCTGGTACGTCGTTCCTGGTGGAATATGCACGAAAGACATCTTGGATACATTTGGAAACGGAATCGAAGAGAACGAATGAGGCTCGGGTGCTTCTTCCCATACATCTTCTTGCACGTCAGATAGGTTGTTGATTTTGCCCTCCGTGACAAGAAAGCGGATCGAGTCGGCAATATCTTCAAGGTCCGGTTCCAGAATACCCACGTCCACAGCCAATTCGCACGCAACTTCGTGAGGGCTATCAGCAAACAAGTTAAACGGAAACTTGATTTCCTTTGATTTGCCGTCAATGATGATGCGCAGATTCAACAAAATGCTGTGCTCATTGTTCGGGTCTTTTGCAGCCTTAATCTCATGTCGCTTTGGGCGCTTTCGTGCAGATGCACTGCTTGCAGCAGGGTGAAACATTTGTTGAGGCAGAGGTATCGGCTGGCTGGCTACAGGAGCAACATTTTCCGCTGTTGTAGAAGCAGCTACAGCTGCACAAAACGAACCGTGAATACTCGCACGGCGGGATAGGCTAGATTGAGGCCCCACATCACGTTCGGGAAGGCTCAACGACGGAATTTGACCTTCGGGAGCTTGAGACGGTGTCAACAGCCCTGGTGCAGAATTAGGAGGCTCTATCTTGGGATTTTCTGTAAGTAATAATGAAGCTTCTCCGGTGAATGATTGTGAGTGCTCCGGCGTTTCTTTCCCATTCGCCACAGGCGAGCCCGCGGGGCTTTCAGCGTAAACTGGCATGCTGTCATTTTCCAGATCCAGTCGATGGCCTCTGCCACCCATTATGTTTATCCGCGTGTTCTGGATTGCACTCTCCGTGCCAGGCAACGTTGCGAGGAATTGGTCCACGTGTGTATCCGCGCTGTTTTTACCCGACGATAATGGCTCATCACCACCATCCATTTCACTAATGACAGGCTGAGAGGGAGAGTGCGCCACCTTAGAAATGTCTTCCGGTGAAGTGGTGGTTGGCGCTGGCATTGGTGCTATTGTTGGAGTTAGCATTAATGCTGGCGTTAGTGGTGGGACCAACTCGATAGATATGGAAGCTGGGGTAGTAATAATATCGCGCGCAAATGCTCCAGCTGGCGGTACCTGGTGTGTTCCGGCAGTCTCCGCGAAGGCATTACCAGAAGGCATCAACAAACTTCCAGCACTTTCTAAAGTAAAAGCACTGCCACTCGCCGAGGACGCTGCTATTAGTTCTTCTGGCCCCAACGAAAGCGACGAGAATTGCTTTCGGTGCTCAATGACCACCAAACCAGCACCGTCTCTGGACCCACCTTCCATATTGAACTCCAGTGAGAATGATTCCTCCGCAATTTTCTCCAACCGTTGTTGCGCCTCTTTACTTTCACGCTCAAGCTCATCTTCATCCAAACACTTTACCATGTCATTGTCATCGTCTTGCGCTTTCAAAAATGGATGATCTAGTAGATATTGAGCCGACACGTCCACCAGTCCATTTCCACGTGAGAGACACAACTCAATAAAGTCACGCGCAGCTTGACTAACCACGCGCTGCAACCCCTTTGGCCGAATTCCAGCTGTAACCTTCTTGTAAATTTGTGCTGGATTGATACATTCCGAGTACGGTACTTCCTTGGTCACCATCTCCAATACACACATTCCAAAAGCATATATGTCGACTTTTTCGTCATAACTCTCATCGTACAGTTCCGGTGCCATAAACTCAGGTGTACCCAGCACACTCTGTGCCTTCGAACGTTTGTCCACTGCTAATTGAGTCGACAGTCCAAGATCTCCAATACGAAGGTCACCTGTATTCCCATTCACAAAGATATTATCACACTTTAAATCCCGATGAATCACCGGTGGATTCTGATTGTGTAGATAATGAAGTCCTTCCAGGATCTGAATACACCATCTCTTGATGATCTTCCACTTGATAAACTGAACACGCTTAATGTATGATTTCAAGGTTCCAGAGGTCATAATCTCGGTAATAAACACGACTTGATTTTTCTCTTTGGAAAACCAACTGCCGTAAAAATTGATAATGTTTTTATGTTCCAATTTTTGCAATAATTGAACCTCTTGAATGATCCGTGTCTTTTCTGTACTAGGTAATAAGCCAATATCAATAGCATTCCAGGCCACATCAATCCCTTGATCGGTATCGTATGCTTTATAGACGGATTTATAAGCACCCGTACCTAGTCGAATATCAAAACGGATATACCGACCACGAGGCGAATGTTCCATTGGACGATCACCTTCTTCCCTCACGTACACGTCACTGTCTTCCATTAGCCTTTCAATTCAGCTGTAAAAGCCGAAAAACGTCTATAAGAGCAACTTTGTTTTCAACTGTGTCTACACTTTAACAGCACTTGGATCACTTCGGAAATGGAGAGTACACTTTTACCACGAGAATAATCTGATCGAGAAGAAGAAGGGAAGAGTACACAATGAAGGATAAAGAGGATTATGGGCACGCTCGAGACGGTCGAGACAATGGGCTGCCCCTGTGCCACCTTGGGTCTTCACTCTGTGCTATTGGTCTTGCTGAAGCCCTGATTAGACTTGAAATTTGTATGAGGATACTTACTGCAAGAGACAGACTTGGTTTTACTAGGGATGATGAGGTTTTGAGGTTTTTATTATGGAAGAGTGAAAAGGTTATGTAACGTTACATGAATACGACACTTTGTCTCCTCAGATTGTAGGGACAATCTGATTCGGTCTGAAAACCTCTACAAACAGATTCTTTCTCACTCGGATTTTATTCATGGAAAGTGGTGGGCGAAGCGGAAGCGGTCGTGGTAAAGGCAAGAAAGGAAAGAAAAAGGCGGTTACTACAATGCATCAGAGTGGACAGAAAGAGGTTACGAATACTCAAGTTATGTCTCTTCGTTGTAAAGCTTCTACGCCATCCAATGCAACAGAAGAAGGTCTACAAGCACAAAAGCTACACAAGATCAATTGTTACTTAGGACGAAGCGGAAGAGACTAAAAAGGAAGAAGATGATTGGAGGAGAAAATCTAATTGTAAAAGAACAGATGGTGGCTGAAAGTGAGTCTTTAAAGACAAATGTCCACGTGCAAAACGACCAATTTGGATTAACTTTTTTAGAAAAAAATGGTCGATATTTAATTTTTCTGCTAATTTTGTTTGTAATTTTATTTGTAATTTTTTTAATTTTTTTTTGGATATAAACAAATATTATGTATTAAACTACCAATTAAATTTAAAAATTTTAAAGAAAAAAATTATCAAAAATATAAATAAAGATTTAGATAAAAATAAATCAAATTTTATTAAAAAAATAAGTAATAACTTTTTAAATCATTTCAAAAAATAAATAAACTTAAACAAAATTAATAAAATTAAAAACACTTAATAAATTAAAAAATATTAAAGATTTAATTTTAAAATTTTGAGTTAAATTATTTTTTTTTAATATAAGCCCGTTTATTATTTTTTGCCTTTTTAAGTGAAACAAATGCCTATAAAAATATTATTAAAAATGCACATGATGTTCCAATTAGAAATGGGTATTCCTGGAAATTTAACGTAGACATACCAAGAACAGAATGTTCTAAGATTTCTATTATATATGTTTTAACTTCATCTTAGGTAATCTATTGAAATTTGATAAAAATTGTATAATTATTCTAAATAATCAAAATAAACCTTTGTTGTGATAAATTAATAGGTTCATAAACTACCCGTTTTTTTAATTTATTATAAAAAACCTCGAAATAAGAAAATTAAAACCGGTATATTTTTTAAAAAACCTTCTTTTAAAACAATTTTATATCCTTTTCATTTAAATTTAAAGTTAGATACAAAAGTCCTTAAATGCTGTTGCTGTAGTGACACCTAACGAGATGTCGGTAAAGAAGGCGATGAAGAAGAAGAGAAAGCGAAAAAATGGCACATTAAAAGTTTTAGCTGGTACAAATGACAGTGATCAGGTGATGACGACGGTTTCATTGAAGGAAGGAACGTCCAATGATGAAAAAATGTCACCTTTGATAGCAACTCAACCAATGAAGAAAAAAAAGAGTCTGCGGACTCAGCTGCCATCTATAGATACTGTGACAAAACAGACGATGGGAGGAGAAGATTTGAGTTCGAAGCGTACAATTGCGCAGGTACGTCCAGTGACGGGTTATTTGAAATTTATATTCTTACATTCTTATTGGGTGATGTGTCTGCTGTTAGGTCGAAAATGTGTCTACAAAGTTATTGACACAGCGTACACGGAAGAGTGAGAGAGTTACAACAACTGTCGATGTTTCGGCAGCGGTGGCAAGTCCATGCAAAAAGGTAGAAGCAAATATGGTATCTGCTGGGTCGATGTCGATGTTACCCAAAGACGAATTTCAAGTCGTTGTGTGGCGAAGTGAAAGAGTGAATTTCGCCAAGTGTGATCGCATATTTTCGGTTAAGTCCGAAATGGCCAATATTAATGAGTCGCGATCTCGTGGCCAATATTGATGAGTCGCGATCTCGCAGAAAGGTTTCAAGACGATGTCAAATAGGATGGAAAACAGTGAATGGAGTAGTTTGCACTTCTATGTGGGGTCAAATATGGCCTAGAAACTACGCTATTGCGATCTCCAGTATTTCCGATGGCGATCCGCGTGAACGCGGTCGCTAAGGAGGAAGATGGGTACATCCAAGCATGTGGAGGACGGTCTGGTGTGGATCACGTCGCTATGGAGGACTGGAATGGTGGATATGAAATGTCACATTGATGAACTATCTCACATGACCTGAGAAACGGTGAAGAAGACAAGTCGTGATCCGGCGGATCGCGATCCGATATTAATTATTTAGTACCGCGATCTGGTATTAATTATTTAGTACCGCGATCTGGTACTAATTATTTAGTACCGCGATCTGGTACTAATTATTTAGTACCGCGATCTGGTACTAATTATTTAGTACCGCGATCTGGTACTAATTATTTAGTACCGCGATCTGGTACTAATTATTTAGTACCGCGATCTGGTACTAAAATGGTATTATATCCGAGTGAGGTAGCGATCCAGATCGCGGCTATATTGGAGTGGACCACATTCCGAGATCTGATTTTTTCCGAAAGGGCGATACGTGGCAACAGATCCTGAGCTACAGATAGTCAAGATCATAGGTTTTGGTATTTGATTGGTTAACATTAACAGAGTTCAATTTGCTTCTAAGTACACGTGTCGACTTCTCTTCCGGGCTGGATTCTTTGGCCTCCCGACGTCTCAAGGAAGTCTACCTACTACGCAAGTCATATCCCTGGATTGTTTGGCCAGGGATTGCAAGAATTCTCAACAAAACAACTCAAGCTGCGATTGGACGCAGAGGACTAAGAAGTCCAGATACAAGATCGCGAGACGGCTCAAGTGGTCAGAAGGCAAGCGGATCAAGTATCTACATTTTTGGACAAGGCGATCTCAAGGGAGATCAGGGCGACTCAAATAGAGCACCCCAAGAACAACTGCGATCGTGTGAGGAATTCCACGCGATCGCCCCCCCACCTATCCCTAACACAATCAAGTTCAACATCGACTCAAGTCTACCGAGAAGAGAGCAACCCGCCCTACCGACGGGTACACAAGGTGAGGAAGGCTATACACACGGAATCGGGGTACCCCCTCCGTTAGTCGGTCGTCCGGGCGCCAGTGGAGAGTTGGGATCGCATCAGCAATTTTGCGAATCCCACTCCACCACAATGGTGCGCGTGCCCGGATCTTCTGGTGACTCGGGATTTCACCGTGAGTCCCTGAGAGAAGATGTAAAGGTCAAGACTGAACCTGGGATTGAAGCGTCAGCGGCAAAGGGATCACCGCAGACGTGTGAAGAAAAAAGATCCCCGGATCATCAGCGTTTTGGGAGGGGCGCAGATGAAAAGAAAACCAAGGAGGAAGATCAAGAGATTGATCTGGAAGAAAAACCTCTACCCCCTCCCCAGGTCCTTTCGAGGACCCCTGCGGATCGCGTTGCAAAACGCGATCCGCTGGATAAAAATCCTACGGTTAAAACCGAAGGAAATTTATCCAAAACCACTCCGAATTCGAAGAAGAAGAAGAATTCGAAGCCATCTCGAGTGAAGATGAAGGCGCCTGAGTCGGATCATGATGATATCGACGTGAAGCCAGCGCATGAGGAAGACAAGGCGAAAGGATGGCAACTGGATCAGCTGGAATGGTGTTTTCATTGGAAGGCGCTTAAAGATCTGTTGTCAAGCGATCCCGTTCTAAAGATTTTGAAACCGAAGTTGATTGGATCGCTACGAGGACCAATTTCAGCTCCCATTCCGACACCGAACCAGTTGGAAGCGATCCGTCGGCTTATGGAGTTGCTCCAGAACGCTGGATTCACCGCTGGAGCTTTTGACGCGCAGGTGCTGTTGGAATGCGATCATGATCGGGTGATCCAAGCAGGGCGATCTCTGTTTTCGAAGCTAGTTCCTCTAATTGGAGAGCGCGATCCGGTGGATCAGACGATCCAGCCGATTGCAGATATACCAAAAGGATATCATACGGGATCTTCGCAATATATGTCAGCGGAATCCGAAGGGGAGTCGGACGACTCGATTAATATGCAGCGAATGTCACTTGGACCGGCTGGTGCAGCGCATATTCGCGAGCGACTGGCACCGATTAAGGCCAGAGAACAATCGACGACGGCACTCACAGCTGAAGACATGAACGTGAATGGATCAGGTCAATTGCAATCTTATTTTGAAGCTGCCATGAGAAAGTACGAGCAGGATCAAGCTCGCATGATCGCCAGTCGATCCGCGATCCCTACAAACACCCCAAAAGTTTGCATTTCGGATGTGGATATGGAATCGGCCGGATCGCGTCAATCGCGATCCAATAATTACGATCCAGACGATTTGGGTCTGGAGGATCTAAGACGGCCACAAGTCGCAAGTGCAGGCGCTGTACCTAATGGTGGACTTGTCACGCAGCGGATTCGAATGTCTGCGATCGCAGATCTGAAAGAATTTACAGGACGGGACAAGGATGAAGATCGAGCGAGAAGTTGGGTCAACAAGGCCAAGTCGGCGTTCTTACGCGACCAAGCCCCGGATGATGAAAAATGTCTAGTATTTGGTGATTTACTTACGGGGCCGGCACGAAATTGGTATAGCCAGTTAAGTCGATCCACCCGGAATTCATGGAAGTCGTTGCTGGAAACCTTCATGATCCAGTATTGTGGATATGGTATGTCGGTCGGGAGACAATACTACCATGCGAAGAAGCGATCTGATGAAACTCCATTGGAATATTTGTATCGACTGAATGTGGCCGCGATCCGAGCAAAAATCCCCATTCGGGAAGGATCGCCCTCAATTCGCCGAGAACATGTGGAACATTTCATTGGTACACTGGATGATCGCGATCTGGCTAAGCAGTTGACGTTGTTACGCCTTGGAGACGCCGATGATATGGAAGAAACTCTGCGAACATATCAACGCATGGAGGGAAGACAGTATCCGAGTGCAATGGGATCGAGCAAATTTCGTCAGCGATCTGCGTCGGCATCCACTCCGGCACCCTCGAAACCAACTCGTGCTGTGAGAGCGATTCGTCTGGAAGGCAGTAGCAGTGAGTCAGACTCGGATATTAGTGGATCAGACGCCGAAATAGATCGACGCAACTTATGTGTGGCCACAGTACCAGATCGCGTGAAGAAATATAGTGATCAACGCGCGGGATCAGACTATTTGGATCAAGATCGCGGTCCAGATCGCGTGGTGAATCAGAAGGCTTGTACCCATTGTGGGTCGAAGAAACACGATGATCGTGGATGCTGGAAGAGACTAACGTGTCAGAAGTGTGGTCGTAAGGGACATCCGTCGGACAAGTGTTTTTACACCTGTGCTGCCTGCGGAGATATCCATGAGCATGGAAAATGTCGAATGGAAGAATTCTACAACATGATACGCAAGTGGTATGTCCCAACCAAGCATGCTGGAATGCTTCCGCCGAAGGCTGAAGAAATGTTAAACTAGGACGCTCGCCAGGTTGGAATCTGGTACGAGCCGAGCGTTCTAGGCTCTGCATTTATGCATTTGTGGAAAGAAGATCGACAGATCAGGGCGTTAACACTCAGATCGACCCGAATAATACATGTGAAGATTCAAAATTTCTGCGTTCAATATCAAGCGTCGTAAGAGTTGATGAATATGCCCGATCGCCTGCGAAAATGGAGCTCGACTTAGCACCAGGTGAATCACGGGGATATTGGAAATATCATACCCCAGGAAAATGGTTCAAGCAAGCCAAGGCAACGGGCAAGATCAACAATGAAAAGGCGATTATGTTGTTTGATTCTGGAGCCGAAGTCTCAATCGTCGACACCACCTTTGCTCGTAAGGTAGGATGTGTCATTGACGAGAGTCAGAGGCAAGAATGTGTTGGGATTGGTGAGAACATATACATGACGGACGGTCGTACAAGAATCAAGATCACGCTGAATGGATCGCTAGTCTATTATTTTGATGCTTGGGTAGGAGATCAAGTAGGTCAAGACGCGATCCTAGGAATGGATTTTATGGTCCCAGCTGGAATACGCCTGGATTTAGCAGATGGAACACTTTGTTTGCCTGATGAGGTCAGGATACTTCTGAATGGACGAAGACCCCCTTACCGGGCGACCATACAAGCGATCACAATTCCAGATCAATATGTGGTGATTCCCGTGGGCAAATCGACCGAAGTGAAGATCGGAGTTAGTCCTCCTAAAGCCAAGATCTGGGTGAGGCGCGATCCGAAGTGGGTACCTACAGTAACTACGGGACCAGGTCAGATCAAGTATCTACAGCTGACTAATATCGGCGATCAAGAAGTGACTTTAAGTCATGGATCGCCATTAGGTTGGTGGATGGTTGCTGATATGATACCTCGGTCCCCAGGATATGTCTCGGTGGGATCGCGTCGGTATAACGAATGGCAGACATTAGCGTTCGAAGCGACAACGGATCGAGAAGAAGAACTACTGGAGGAATATACCGGACCGCTAGTGGACCATCCTTCGTACCCTACGCCGAAGAGGATCTTAACACGCTCAAAAAAGGAAGCAGAAGAAAGGACTACGGAAACAGTGAAACCCACGACACGATCCAATGATGAATGCGATGCGATAAGAGGAATCGGTGGCAACAATGTAGAAGATCGGGTGATCGAAGATGAAAGCGAGCAAGTAGCGCAATCTCCATGGGTAATCAATGCGATCAGAGGGATGTCAAATGTCGATCACGTGAAAGGGCCGTGGGGTGAAGATAATTACACTCACAATAACTATACACCGAAATGTATGGAGCGCGATCCGACAATTGAGGACTGCGATCTGGCTGATCTGGCAATCAATGACCGCGATCTGGCCGATCTGGTAATTAATAACCGCGATCTGGCCGATCTGGATCGCGATAACCCCGATCCGACAATTGAGGACTGCGATCTGGCCGATCTGGATCGCGATGACCGCGATCT